TTCATACATTTCTACATCCAAGTTTTCAACTTCAACAGTATTTTCTCTTCTATTATTATCAGAATTTTGTTTACATTTTATCACATGCTTATAAAATGAATTATAAGAATTATATTGTCGATTACAGTTGGATGTTACACAACAATATGCTACGTCAAGAGAATCTGGATGACTATTTTTAAAGTGCATTGATAAACTATTTGATGGGTAAATTTCATTACATTTCGAACATCTAGCTTCCATGATTCCAGATATTGATAATGAAAATACTGAAAATCCTATTTATCACCACTGCCACTGTAAATAAACAGATATAATTTAAAAAAAAATTAATATAAACTTAAATAGCATAGACAAATCTAAGAATTAAATTTTATTAATTATAGAAAGAGAGAGAGAGAGAGAGAGAAAGATATTTAGAGAAACCTATCACTTACAACAATAATACTGAACAAATATTGTTTTGTGATAATAAAGATTAAAATAACCATCGTTAGCAAAAACATGTAAATTTACGCTTTAGTTATTGAGATCAATTCCGTTACAAAAAATTAACTATATACAATTCAAATAATTCACAGAATCCTAACAGCAAACTACCTCTCTCAACTGACCCTTGCTTGTATGACTAAGCACTTCTTTAGCCGATCACTAGTCGAATTCAATAAGAATTAGTGACTTGTGCAATGTCGCACAACAATTGATTATATTAATATTCAATTATATGTTAATTTTACTTGAGATAATAAAATGAAAGATGATCATATATAGTGCACTTGTTTTTAACTAACTTAATCTATACGTTAAAACTCTAATTTCTTTTAATGAAATAATTAACTATAAGAAAATAAAAAAAAACTTCTCGTGTTATGATAATTATATTTATGATCTGATAATTCAAGAATGAATTACCAAAGTCAGCTACATTACAAGTTTTGTGGAAAAAAGGCATGAGATAGATGAAATTTGTTTTTAACCATTAAACTCCTAAATGCATTAATTGCATAGGCGATTCATCCAGATTTCTGATGTGCACTGAATTAAGCTTTCAATAGAATATGCATGAGCATGTTACTATAATAAAACATATATGAAAGACATTTCTTTCAAATAATGCAATTATTGAGTATTTAAGTAAATTTCCATCCTAACCCCCAGTACATAATAATTCAAGTCCAGCTTCTTCTAATTGTTTTCAGCTTCACCGACTTTCCTCATCTTTCAGAAATTTTCCTTGACTTTTAATTTACTCAAAAATAAAATTCTAACTTTTTCAATTATTTTTCTTCATTTTACCTTTATATAGATAATCGATTTATTCTATCTTCTTTTCAATCATTTATAATATTATCTTCTGGTCCTCATATTTATTTCTTAATCAACGTAGACTCTCTAATTACTCTGCTATTTCAAATTTTGAACCTGTATATAAACCATTATATATACAACATGTTATGTGTAGCATAATATCCAATCAAACTATTCCAACTAAATTGCTCAAGCTCTGTTTATTTATACTACTCATATCCCAATCTAATCTTGATTAACTGCCTTACTTTCTCAACACATCCACATTAACTTCTTGGTTTCATAAAATTATTACTAGTTTTACTGAACACTAATATAAGACCTAACATTTTTGATGGGAAATCTATAACAATCTCGTCGATTTCGATACACCAATTTTAGTTTTAAAACTAATAACTTTATAATTATAAATGAGTTACATTTCTTTTTACATATATATATAATTATTAATAACAAGAAGAGCAAATAAAAGTTTGAGATGATTTAACAATATCAACGAATAATTATAAAAAAATTTCGAAACTAAATATTGCACCGTAGCAACAATGCAAATTAAAATTTTATAATGTTACAACTCAGTTGAAAAATACTGAATTTATGTCGGAATTCAAGAATCAATGTTGGTTAAACGTTCAAAAATTGAGCAAATAAATATTAGAAATATAAGCATGTTAAAAAAAAGTAAATAATTATGAAGATTAAACAAAATGCGTCGATATTTACGATGAATTTAAATTTCATTATGCATATCTGATTTGATTATTCCAGGAGAAAAATTTTTGTCCTTTACTTAAGCTACATGTACACTTTAGCTACACTTTGGATATCCTGCAGGTTGGACAAGGGACGATCGGTCAATTTAGATACAGACATGGTTGATTAACAAAAAAAATACGATGCTATAATTTTAGAATGCTCAAACTATCAAAATATTTACACTATGTGTGTTTCCATTTAGTTGAACAATATAAGAAAAATAATGGAACAAGTTTTCTCTATTATTTAAATAACGCAGGAAAAATTATGAAAATTCAGAACTATACATGATATTATTTACAATATCTTTGGATGTCTTTTCTATTATGTATTAAGAGCGAAAACAAACTTTCAAGGGTTAGGGTAAAGTAAGATTATTGGGTGAGAAAGGCAATTCGGTGATAAACTCTTCAGTCTTTCAAAGCGTTACCTATGCATGCAGTGTCGCGAAATGATGCAACTGGTTCGCCTTAAAGGCGAAAAAGACGTAGTAACGTATCAAGGTAACGTCTTGAAAGACTTTTAGGAGTCCATCATCGAATTACTTCTCTGACCAAATAACTTTATAAAGTTATTTGGTGCCAGGTATACTTTACCTGGCATCATTAAAAATATCATAAAAGAGAAGCAAGATTAACTAAAAAAATATCCAGTAATTATATACTCGAAACATATTAATATCGGTTATTTTAATTACAGAATATAATAAAAATAATTGAAAATAAATGAATAATTTTTGTATTTACTATATACTCACATGTGCACTTGCGTCCTTTGCTTTAAGTATTTTGATCTTAGAACAGATACTTTGATGTAAAATTAGCCAGTTGTACTTCTTTTACTCTTCTATTTTTATAAAAATCGATAAGTTTCTTTTAAGTTAAAAGAATATAGTGCTCAAAATTACACACAATTTTAATTCAAAATCGTTTTAAACCAAAAACAAAACTACAGAATGTTACTTTCTTTCGTATGATGTATCATGGAGTAAAATCGGAGCGTCGCTTTTTCAAGAAATGATCATAGAGTACATGTACATGAAAGAGAGGGTCGCATTGTAAAATACCTGCCCTAACGCTCCTATTTGCGTTAGACCTCTATATTTGTCTATCCTCTCTGGTAGAGTCCCTTGAGATAGAGTTTGACACAGGTAGGTCGTACTCCAATTGCTCACCATGTACCAAATCAAAGAACAGAGACTGTAGGACTACTAGGACTATAGGAATACTAGGAGTGACTGGATACCAAAGAAGAGAGACCATTATAGAAGTTCATCAATTTCATGCTAACATCTATTCGGACCAAGTTTGGGTCTTCTTTGCTGGATAATTCTGAGTGGTTGGTAATAGCATCGATTTGCCGGATTTTATCTGACGCGACTCTAAGTAGCACCGAGTAAGACACTTGATAATTCCACTGTAGAAGCTTTTGGGGAAAGAGCAAATTGTATAATTGATCAGTATTCTTATAATAAGCTAAGAGATCTTAATGTAATGATCAACGGTGAATTAACTTTTAATTTTTTTAATTTTTAAATTTTTATCTTAATTAAAAAATTTTTAAATCTATAGAAAAGCTAAACCCCGAAAAATTTAAAATTATTTTATAAATAGTGTTCTTCTCCAGGCTTATAAAAAATGGATGGTTGGTAATAGTGAAGAACCAACATTTTTTAGAAGGCATTAAAACCCCAACCAATTTTTTTACTGATTATGCTGAAATTTGGTGTAAAACAATGACCCCTGAACATGCTCTGATAAAACTTTGAAATAAACATCCTATAGGTTTCCCAGAAGTGATGAGTACTCTTTTAAATAGTGCAGCCTTCGCTAATAAAGCATACAGTCGTTTCGGAGGATCAGCGATGAATCTATATTACAAATGCAGTGTAATTATTACAAACTAATAATCATGTATTTGTAATTACTTATAATATTTATGTATAACTTAAATGTATATTTGAATATTGTAATTAATATTTGTACGTCATGATATAATATACATGATTATAATACATCATTTATAGGCATATGTGTACATACACATTAGAAGACTTTTTTTAATCAACAAAAAAGTATAAAATAAGCTATACAATATATGAATATTACATGATTATGCATTAGAGTGATGATTATTAAAAAGGAAAATTAAAATATTGTTAAAAGTTTAATTATCTTACATTGTTATTAATAATCAGAAATAAAATTTTATTCTAAAAAAATCATTTGCATGAATTATCAAGTTGTAAAAATTTTACGATTGTTTTAATTTAGATTATCACATAAATAAATATGTATATAAAGCATTATAAGTTTTAACAATTACGATTTAAATGGCATATTCAATCAATTTCATTCACAAAATGTGCATATCAGTAAATAACAACAAACTAAATTATTGTTCTTATTATATAAAAAACAAAACTAGTAAGCCTAAAGTAAGCCTTGAAAGATATCTCAGTATATGTATTAAGTTAAAGAATTTCATAATATTTACGAATTAAGAAACTATATACTCTTTGAATTTAAATCATATGATTGCAGTTAACATATAATAATAGATTTATTTTTATTTTAACTAATGAAAATGAGTAATATTTGATCAGTTATCACTTATTTTGAAAATTCTATTTAATAAAATTAATATTATAGTACCACATTACATAGCAGATTACAAGATCCAGATGAAGGAAATTCTTTTGTAAAAAAAATGAAATTTAGAATCTTATGTACAAGATATGAATCTGGTTAAACGAAATGAATACGCATTTTTATATTATACATTTAGGTTTATTAAAATAAATGATTGTATTCAAACAGACACTTAAATAAAAATATGATATTAATCGATAATATGATAATAATAATAATTATGTATTGATAATTAAATAATATGTTTAACTATGTACTTTATAGATTATTAATGACCGAGTCATTTTCTTGATTCTGTAATTGTTCTTCTAACTTTCCTATTAAATAAGTAACTGGAGCTAATTGTGCTGATTTGTTTTTAGTTATTTTATATAAATATTCATCAATAAATCGCCATACACACTGGCTTTTTTTGCAGTATTCACGATCTTCAACTACATAAAATTTAAATGCTAGATCTACTGCTTCCGTCAAAGTTTTGCATTGATACCTTTTACCATCAACAATTGTGATTGCTTTCAATACTTGAAATCCTTTTTTAATGGCAATAATATACGGATTTATTGGTAAACGTAACTTTTCAAATTGACTATTATGATCACTTATTGTGGTTACCAAACTAGATTCATTCTGTGCAAAAAAAAATAATATATATTACATAAAACACATATTTGAAGATAAATCATTGCATAATATAAAAAAATAGATAATATATTACATACTTCTATGTATCGGATGAAGGATTTTGCTGCCTCAAACCTAGAGGGTCTGAATCGTTCAGCCTTACCTTTTGCATTCATTCTACAATTCATAGTTGGTAACATTTTATACGAAAGTAACTCCCAGGCGAAATCTTTTTTCATTTCCATAGTGCAATGTTGCAATGTATCCAATTTGTTTTGATTGTTCTGAATAATATCTGGTATTTTGATATCTAACGACATGATATGGCATGATAATTTTTCCCATAAATCTGATAAATAGTTTTCTGGGAAACTTTTTTTTGCAATAAATTGAAAATCTTCTTGCAATACTGCCTTTAGATGATCAATATTTGAAAAAAACTTGCTTGTATGAAATATAGTACAAAAGCGTACTTTTGCCTCCATACGGAAGGCTCTTGTTTGATTCCAGCGATTCAAAACATCTTGGTTAATCGCTATACTTTGCTCAATAATTGCCATCTGTTTATTCATTTCTTTTTCTAAATTATTTAACCTTTTTGCTTGTTTGTCATTTTTAACCTTCTTGATTACTTTGCCGATTTTTTCATTAAAACTTTTAGATGCTTCAAATAATCGACCTTGATTTTTTTTTTCGATCCACTAAAGATATATGGTTTATACCATTCCCAAGGATCGGCATTTTTCCATACTTCACAAATTTCGGCAGCCCAGAAGCGTAGTTCATGGGGTTTAATTGGACTAAAAAAAAAAAAATAATTAATTACAATACCAATAGGCACACTGATAGAAGTAATTTATTACTGTAACGATTTTTAAATTATTAAAATCAATTTTTTTTAACTATTAATAAATATTTCATAACAATAAAAAAGCCTTAGTTATGAACACATTAGTGCTTTTATAATGAATTAATCTCATTGTATTTTAAAGAAATATTTCTTAATAGTTAAAAAAACAAAACTGTCATATTTATCAATTCACCCTTTATAATCTCACTTTTTGCCTTATGCATATCTTTTATCATTTATTAGAAAGACATGGAAAATAAAGCATCAGGAGGTAGAGAAGCTAATAAAATTTGTGGTGTATTATTGTGGTGTATATGTGGAGATCGTGCTCTACCCAGATAGAAAATCTCTGACAATTTTAAGTCAAAATACTGGAATTTAGGAAAAAATATTCGTCAATGTTGCCGCTCGGAGGACTGCCCATTTTGTTGTAAAATTTACAAAAATCGAAGATGGTATAATATTCTTGCAAGTGTGACAAAATATTAAAGAAATTCATTACCGAACTTATTTTTTACAATATTAGGTCAATTTTACATCATTTCTAGTGACTAATCAGAATACGGGCAATTTGTCGACTACTTAACAACATATTTTGACCTTAATGGGGTATGATTCCCGCCGATTGCCAGTAACTTGTCAATGAATTCTGACAATAATTTATATTCGAATTTCTTCGAAAGTCTTCGGTAAGAAACGGTAAGAAAAAGAATCATTTGTTGATAAATTGATGGTTTATTGCCCGATTGAAGTTGATCATATTTGTTGTTTTCAAAATGATGCATCATTGTCAGCAAGAAATTATGTCTATTTATGATAACAAAATGCTATCATAAAAAGAAAATATATATTGTTGTACATTTTCTATTATTATGTCAGCTATTTAATTCTCGAAATAATAATTGTCAACATAACGTAAATTCGTTGTCAATATATTCTGGTACTAACGTAGCAATTATTATTGGAAGATATGGCTAGAATATTTACATTATATTGCTGATCAAAAATGATTCTTCCATTTCTTGATTACATTTTGACTTAAATTTGACAGTAATCAATTCTGGAATATTGGGATGGTCATAATTTTCTATCTGGGTAGGATTTAATTTTAATGCTTTATTATGTGAAAGTTGTAAAGCATTCTTTAAAAGGAATGCCTTAAAAAATAAGGTAAATAAATGTTATTTTAACTCCAAATGAGTAATATGAACATATTTAATCAATTATTTTTTATAGGAATTTAGGTGCCCTCTTTCACGAAATTGTAACGTGACACCAGTCACAAGAAGGTTCCGCAAAAATGCAGATTAGAAAAATGTTTCAGTATTGGCATGAGAAAAGAATATATCATGACAGAGGAAGATAAAGTATTAAAACGTCAAAAAATAGAACAAAACCGGACAAAAAATAGATCATCTGATGAACCTAGGGGGCCTAAAATGGAGCGGGAAGTAAAAGAAGACCCTAATTATGACGAAACATCAGTCTCTGTAACTTCAATAGCTTCGACAGTATCTGAAACATATTTTTGGGAATCAGATAAAAAATATGCAGATTTAGATAGTAATCGACAACAAACTGTTGAGAGTTTGAGTCCCGTAACTGCAACACATTCCAATAAATATACTGGGGAATGCCAAGCCATGAGTTTTTTATCGAAGGAAAATCTGTGTAGCTCAAATTCTACGAAAATTAATGGAACTATTTCCTCTGTAAATTATTTTAAATATTCTTTTATTGGCAATAACTACACTGACTCTTCAGCTTCAGAGAGTGAGGCAAATGTTGAAAAACATTTACTGTATCCACATAGCACAAAAAATTTTAAACTAAACAATAATAATAACCATCAGCTTGAGAAAACTCTGAAAGAGTATTCTAATGATGTAGTGAATCAAAGTGTTCAAGATAGTTATACTAAACGTACAGACTTAATTTCTGTATTGACTGTAAAATCTGATGTTGTAATGAAGTTAGTCTTGAGTAATCCTCAGTTAGCCACTAAGATATTTCAAGATAAAGATGTCATTTCTAAAATGATATCTGATCCTGAAATTGCAACAATGCTAACAGGTGATTCACAGATTTCCAAACTATTGGAATTGTATATACTTGTATAATCTTGTAATTGAATTGTATAATTTTGATTATCATATGATAATCAAGATTGTTGTTTCACTTCTGTAGTAACTAAAAAAATACCAGATAAAATAATTGAGAATACTTTAGAATCTGATGAAAATTCAATCAACAATCGAATATTGATAAATTCAATTACGAATGGTAAATCTGTTGAACGTGATAGCAAAAATGATGAGTCAACTGTAAATAATAGTGATTGGAGTCGAGTTTCTGATGATGTTACGCGAGATGTAGTTCAGAATGTTCAACGAATCCCTATTGCTGTTAATACTATTGAATCTATTTTGTATGAAGCTATAAAATTATAATTTTTACCTTATTCTGCATTAAGTGGAAATCAAAATAGCAAAGAGCTTAATGATGCAGAAAGAGCTAAGTTGAATAAATTAATTGTTGCTAATAAAGCACTTCTTACACCATTGAATGATGATATTACTAATTTAGTTGGTAATGAATGTAGATTTAAGGTAAAATTAAATTTCAATTGATTAAAAAAAAAAAAAAAAAACGATTTATTTTATTTTTTGAAAGTTATTAATTTTATTTAAAAATAAATTCTTTAGGAAAATTCGGAGCATTCGGATCCTATGCTTTTGGACGTGATAAATTTGACAGTTATTGCGATTAGACGGCTAATTTAAATGTCAAAGATAATAAATGCATTTAAAAATATGTACCAGGAAGATCAATTAGCATGGTTAAAAGGTGGTTGTACAGAAATGATAATATTGAGATCAACCTTAACTTATGACGTATATTATTATACGTATATAAAATGATATTTACGTGGCTCGCCGCAATTGCGTGTGTAGAATATTATCCACAATAAATTTACTCAAGTTCTTTTTCACTTCCCTGGTAAGTGGAGATTCCAACCATATTTTTCTCTTTGGATCTCGTTTTAAAAATTTCGCCAGAGTCTATTAATGATAATAATAACAATGTATCATATTTATAATATATATATATATATATAATAATAATAATATATATAACAACTCTATACCCATAATTAATGAATCAGTATACGTACGTATCCAACTTCATCTGCTCGTATGTAATCTGGACGTTTCTGTGAAATACATAAAATTGTTATTTTCATTGCCATATGATTTTGTAACATTCAAAGAATAATTAAAAATTTTCATGAAATTATTCTTACCAAATAATCTAGCAAAGTCATTTTCTTCTTCAGAATTCTTTTAACGTCATTACTATCATTGATATCAGAAAGAACTTCTGATTTTTCCCCCAGTGAAAGAAACCTTTCCTTGTTTATATTGTGTTCTGTAATACAGAAATAAAAGACAAATTAAAATTAATTGATATTTTCTCAACTATAAGAATACCTGTACAGGTACTCACGTGAATTAAAAAAAAAAATTTATGTAAAATAGAAAAAATGATGTGCGAAAAATTCAAAATAATCTATAGTTTTTCAAACAATCTAAATACCTTTAAATAAAGTAATGTAATCCTTAAAATCCCAAAGAGTCAAAAAATTAATTGTAAAATTTATGGAAGTATCTTTTTCGAAGTCATCAGAAAAACGAATTTTAGCTCTTCCAATAATGGATTGAGATGGATTGGATTCTCCAGCTTCTTGATATTGTGTTTGAACCGAAGGATCTTCGTTATCACTATCTTCGTTGCTATCATCAATAACCTCATCAGGTGCTTCTGAAGCATGCAACTCTGTGGTATCATAATCAACTTCCTCAATTCCGGAATCGTTAATAGAAGATCCTAATTTAATCTTTTTCTTCGGGATTTTCGACTCTGCCATTGTACCAGTTTTGATAAAAATAATCTGTTTTTTGAAACAAAAAATTGAAATAAAAATCAGATGACAATGTCAGAGTATGATTAATATCAAAATATAATGTGCAATGAATTTTATTATTATCGAATAATCGTAAGATAACTATGTTGTTAATTAATAAAAGCTGCTTTTAAGAAACAAATAAATCATATTGCTTCTACTTTATTTTGATTAAAAACACAACAATTTCATGAAGCCAATGTATTCGTTTTTAAGGATACATATAAACATTTAAAAGACAAGCGTCACATTCGATATATGTATAATCAACAACGTCACAGTGCAAATAATTTAAAATTGATAAATAAAGATTGAATAGTATTGATGTTTTAGAAAAAAATCAGTAAAAGAAAGAATTAGTAAATATAGACAAACTTACATGCGTTTCCAAAACAAAGGTTTCTTTTTAGTTGATATACACGTATGTACTGCTTTGAAACTATAGCCAGATTGTCGTATCCTCGTTAATTTGATATTGGCATAACCAAACTGCCCACCACTTTGATACCACTATATAAATATACACGATTTTTAAACTTTCTACCACTTTTGTTATAAAAAATCATATAAGATTAATATTTTTAAATTCGCGTGTGTATAAATACGACACTATTCTTCGACGATTACGCACAATCAATCAGAGGATTTGGTGGGAACGACTGGCAGTGAGAATCTCTTCCTAGATCAAGCGTCTGCGGAATTCTTTTGTCAGTTCAACTCTACAAGTGTTGAGTGTCACAAGCTACAAAGCGTATTTATAATTCTTTAAAATAAAATTAATCACAATCGTAAGAATTAACAAGATATAAGAAAGGCAAAGACTGTATTTTCAAAAGCGAATAATTGACCTAAGAGTAGGTAGATTAATGACTACCGCAAGGGTGTCGTCTCAAGATAGGAGTAGGGGTGGACCCAAAATTAAGAAGGGATGAGTTTAGATTCGAGGATTGGAGAAGGCGTAGAAATAGGTAAATATATATATATATATATATATATATATAATATATAATAATATAAATATAAGTATATATATATGTATATATATATATATATATATATATATATATATATATATATATTTGAAATCCATAAAACAATTTTGATTTTACCTACGAAAATAAGAAAAAAAGACGGTAATTTTATAATCGCTTAATCTGGCTTCGTCAGTATCTGAAGAATTTTTTTTTATATATTGTTAAGAGAAAAAATAAATAAATATATGTGTGTGACATTCAAATCTACATAATTAAGAAAATTAAATATAACAAATTTTGAACGATTTTCAATATTAATATAGACATTGTAAATTATTATTTATTTACATAAAAATGTGATGTCAACATCTTGCTCTCTTACATTAATACCAGGAAGTTTCGTAGCAATGGTTTAACTACAAGTACAATATACAAATTATCATGATCCTACACACGTGAGCGATTTGCGTAGCATTAAAAACTCGTCTGTGTGGTGGTCTGTTGATTTTATGACGTTCTCGGATATTCTTATAAGAGTATACAACTGTTTATCATACTTGAGTATGGTTTTAAATTTCGTTTTATGACTTAACCGTGACACGTGTTGTTTTCATTTTGTTGGTATAAATAAGAAAATATTATTTTCAACATTTCCAATGAACAATTGTTCTTGTTGTAAATCTAAAGTAAATCTAGAATACGTATTTATTATCATTTTTACTTTTATAACTTAAATTATTAAAATATAAATTTATTATAGAATAATCAAAAATAAAGTCAGTTATAAGCATTCTTTTGAATTTTTTAAATTTTGCAATATTTTGAAAGACATATGGCACATATGTATGGGGAAAGATAAAATTTATTTAATTTAAAAATGAAATATTTCTGAAATAAATGTTTAAAAAGTAACTTTAAATGAAATAAATTTTTTTTAAAAGACTAAAAGAAGAAATAATAGTACTTATAAATATAATACGAACAAGGATTTGTGGTAAGGTAGGAGTATTAAAGAAAAATTAAAAAGAGATGTTGCCTCCATTTTATTTGAGTTTAAGAGATGGAGACTTATTGTTGTGTAGAAGAAGGAGGGGTTTTCTCCATTCGAAAATCTGGCGCAGAGGAATAACGCATCTGAATGTCATTTAATCATACGATGGTTTAGAGAGTTAAGTTTCAACAATGATAAAAATTTCCGTTAAAAATTTATAATGCTAGATATATTGTGTTATATTATTTGTATGTTAAAAAAGTTGATAGTTTGTTTAATAATAAAAAATGACACAATAAATAATACCAGTAATAATAATCATAATTATATTTAAAAAAAGTCACATAAATGCTCTTTAAATTGATGATATGGATAATATTACAAGACGTGTTGTTATTGATGGACATTAGGTCTTATGAATCCGTGAAATTACTTAAGTGTTGTGTGCGCAAGAAAGAAAGAATAATAAAAGTTAAGGAATAAAATGGGGGAAGAGTAGCAAAAAAAGGAGGGATGAAAGAGGCCGTTTGACGTGACAAATGATTGCTTCCCTGAAAAGTAGTAATATAGTATAGAAGTGTATCAACAAGTGTTAATAGCTCATATTAATCTCTAACACCTAAAAACTGAACTTTATCTCAAAACAAACGTGGGCCTGTTTCGTGAATGGTGATAAAAATTTTTAACAAGAATAAGAATTAATTAGTAATGAGTTTACTAAACTTAAAATAATATTTGTTCAGTTTGTTTTATTAGTATTTCATAATGAATTTAGTAAAATTTTTTGAAAAAAAAATTAAAAATCAAAGTGAAGGTTCTCATGCGTGTTGACACCCATGTGAATATTAAAATTTTACTGAATGTACCTGGAGGAAAATAAACATTATCTCAGGTATTTATTTTTATTTAAAAAAATTACTAGTACTTTAATCTGTATACAGATATATCAAATCAGAAACAATGAAAAAGTTATTCTGATAATCTGCTTTTTTATCCATTTTATAAAAAAACAGTTTAATTATTTTAATTTTTTTTTTTTGAAATCGCACAAATAATTTGTAATTACAGTTGAAGTGTTTTCGACTGACGCACTAATATGTAAATAGATAAATTATTTTTTTCATCGTAAAAAAAACAATAGAAATTATTGTCATTAATTTTATAATTCTAGGTTATTGCAGCACTATTAATATCATTTGGATCATTAGCTGTTAGTTTTTCAAATGGCCACTTTTCGACAGCAATCCTTTCAATTAATGATACTAGCATACGACACATTGCACCATTCTCAGAATAGGTAAATTTATCCAGGAAATATTTTATTGTGGCAAGCATTAATCAGTACAACCAGGTCTTCCGTTGCTATGTGTACTTATCATTTATGGTCCAGAACTGATCTCAAAGCTCACGACAATCGTTTACTGAATACTGTATATCATAGTTTAATATTTTTACGACAAGCAGGACTCTGAGAACAAATGTAGGAAATAATACGTCTTAATATAAATTTAAATTTCAGCATAAATAAGAATAATCATCATTTCAACAATTTTATTGATGAAAAAAAATTGATTGATATGAAAGAAGTAATTTTAACATCGAAATTACCATTAATATAAATCAATTATGGCTTCGTGTGGAATCGCTGAGAGAAAACTGTCATTGGATGAGTGTGACTCAAGAGGAACTTGAACTCATTGGAGATTCACATAGATTTATTTCTCCAGAGGACGTGACAGACTTTATTCATCCTTTGTTAAGTAAAAAATCTAATTCCAAATTGGTTATTTATATTTTAATCGCTTTAAAAATTCCATTATTACCAACTCGCCATCAAACTTTAAAAGATTTAGACATGAAGGAAATGAATTGGAGTTTTGATTTTCTACAATTTTCAATCCCATTTAAATATCCGTGTGCTGGTGAAATGGCTGGTTATGATTAAAGAATTGCCCTTTCAACACGATTCTTTGAAGGAAGTATAACATTAGGATCTCAATACATTTGGTATCATTCAGCACAGAAATCTTATATGAACTTTGTTTTCAGTACTGTTGCAGAAAGTCTATCATCAGAGAATAGATTGAGTATCTATACTTGGTAATATATTTCTAAATTTCATGAGGAGTTATTAGAAAGTCCTGATTTGTCACTCCTGGAGAAATCGTTAGAAACACTATTTTTTCATATTAATTTTCATTGTGACATCGTGATATGTTACGTGTATTTTTTTTTTATCAACAGTAAAGACTTGGAAAAAATTGTTGAAATGTATGATATATCTTTAACAAAGCTTTCAAGTTATCCACATGTTCAAGAGAAAGTGTATGAAAACCAAATAGCATTTTTACACTTTATTTATGAAAAATCATGGATGAATTTGAATCTACTAAGAGAGCACTTGAGTAAAGCTATTAAATGTCATCCTAATAATTTCTATATTCTCTCTCTTTTTGCAGGAGTTAAGGTATAATGAATTTCTATTTATAATCATTTTAACAATAATACAATTTTTTAAATTAACGTTTACATTTCTTGCAGAATGAATTACTACATTGGAGTATATGTATGTATTCGTCTTACAAATGATCGACTTTGGATAAATATTGCACTATGTTTAACAGATCAAGCACTTCACAAACATCAGTTTGTACAAACAATCCTATTGCTGTGCCTGCTGCAACGAATAAACTGCTCCATCTTTACAAAAGACCTTCAAAGGATGTTTAAGTTCCTCTCATGGATGACATTCATCGTAAATATATTTGTAATATTTTTAAAGAATGATTGTACAATGGAATAATATACTTTTCATTGCAGAAAAAATGAATTATGCTATTGTCCAATTATCTGGAGATTATACATATACACATGTTATTCCTTCAAGGAGAAGAAATTTATCATGAAAATGTTGCCTACTGCCCATGGTCTAGATGTATTTATATCGATACTGCTAAAATTGTTCCTCAATTATTAACACGAATTAAGGATATAATTCGTAAAAACAATTTAAGAATGCACGTGTCTCCAGAAGAGCTTAACATTTTAATAGGATAATTATGAAATATTATTAATTGTTGCATTGATATTATGAATTCAAACAGAAATTATGATATAAAAAAATTAGAGTCAATTATTTAAAACGTTGGAGTTATTACATATTTTTGTTAATTTATGTATATGTTCATGTACACACATAATGTACACAGTCTACATAATGTATACTCTTGGAACGAAAAAATGTTTAACAAAAATAAATAGATATTAGCAATACTATTTGACGTAAAGAATGAAATTAGCAAGTTTACATCATAAGTCGACAATGTGGTAAAATCAACGTCCTATTATTGATATGACGATTATTAGTAAGTAACAATAGTATTAAAATTTTACTGAAGAATCCTTAAATTTTTACTGGGGTCACGTAGTGATGCGGGACCATATGTGCAAACCTGAGAAAATTTACTCAGTAGCCTGTAGTAAAAACCCATTTAGTAACCCATTAGAATTTTAAGGGTTTTTTTTATCTAAGAATTTTTACGGGGTTCCGCATTATTGTGTCATTCTAGAAAAATTAAAGGATTCTTTAAAAAAATGTTTACAAACTTTTTGCTCCATGTATGAATTATTATTGACAATATTAACAATAATGATAATATGAAAAGAAAAAATGTAATAGGTGATAGATGTTATATTAATGTCTTTTATACCAATCTAATTTCAAAAGTTTTTTTTCTTCTTTTAACAAATACATTTATAATTATAAAAAAAAATTTAAAATTGAATTCGAAAATATAGAAAACAGTTTGTTTATCAATAATTAACCAAGTATATAATAAAAAATATTAACTATCATATCTTTAAAATGATTATAAAATTGCAATATTGTGACAGTTTGTACTTAAAGTGTGTAATAAAAGAAATTAATCAATTATCTATTATTCACTGAAATTAAGCATATTATCGGTAAGAGATATTTTTTTAAAGTAAACTGTATGATACTTAAATTTACTTCTATTAATTTTATCGTTTTATACTTTTGCATATAATCTGCAGATTTATAGAGAATTAATATGCATGATTTTCTAAAATAACTCGTCAGTTAATACACTTCTGAAAAATTATCAATTTAAGATATATTATCAAGGTCACATTATTGAACTTTTATTAATGTTTTCATTATTTTATCAGATCCCTCCGACACGTACATACACGGAGAAAAAATTCCGTTAATTTTTATTTAAAAATCCATACAAAAATTACCGTGCTGCTCAAGAATGTGAGTTCAAACTTACTGAAAAGTAAAAAGTAATGATCAACATACAAAAATTATAAGTTACATAAGAAAATGTATCATTCAGTTTTTTGAAAATTACTTTGGCAGCACCAGAAAATTTAGTGTTCCACAGCACCTGAAAATTGAGTAACGTTAGCTGTGATAACTACGTTACCGACAAACAATTTTATTTAAGTTTAGTGATAATTTTTTTGGTTATATAAACAAATAAATAAATAAATTAGGTTCATTGATAATTAAACTTTCTTAACTAATTTAATTCGTTGGAATAAATACGGCACGTTTTACAATACTACCCTCCTATCCCTACGATCGGGATCTTACGCAGAAAACCTGTGTCGTCGATACAACCACCCGCGGCTCTCCGAAGAGATCTTCCTTCCGCTCACGGTGGCCCGAGAAAAATCATATAAATGACTTTTGTCTCGGCCGGGACTCGAACCCGCGACCCATCGTGTGTCAAGCTGACGCTTACCCATGAGTCTACCGCGTCAATCCGTTTAAGTTTATAATAAATTGTTATGATATAACGTGTTGCCGCCAATATTAAATCGTAACGAAAAATATGAATGTCATCTTTGTTTATAGTATGGAAAAAGTAACAATAGCACTGAGGGCGTTCACACAATCAAAAACAAAAGCCGTAAGATGTACGCATGCGTACAAACCAATTTTTAACTTATTATGATGTTAGTATGCACGCTTACGTCTTAAATTGTACGTTACGGCTTATGTTTTTGATTGTGTGAACGGTCTTACAATACAAAGAAAGATTGTGTTGGACCGATAATTCGAAGATTCCCGACCCAGCACGGAAACTCTCGAGAATAGAAAAATTTATAGGAGAGCACCCGAATTTTTCCTACCACACGGTTCATAATAAATTATATACAGATTCTCATTTTTTTCTAGTCACTTACTAATTTTTGTTTAAAGTTTGAATAAAAATTAATATTTATCGAATATTACCGTGCTGCATAAGAATTTTTACTTTTACTCTTTTTAATAAATATTGAATCTATAACAAAACTTTTAAAAGGATTACTAATTTTTCTTTGAAGGTTGTCTTAATTTTTTAGGGAATTGACATTTGCGCGTGGATTGTTGTGCTGAGCACGGTAATTTTTATTGGAATTTTTTCTCCGTGTATATGTTCCAATTTTGAATACTTCATCAAGTACATACGTTAAATTTTTTAATTTGATCACCAATCAATTGTATTTTAACATTTTACTTTTTTATTACTAATATAATTAAATTAATATTATCTTATTGATGAACTTTAGATTTGTACCTTTTATAGAATCGACGTTTATTTTATAAAAATTGATTTTATAAAAGGTACGAATCTGAAGTTCATCAATAAAATAATATTAATTATATTAGTGATAAAAAAGTAAAATGTTAAAATACAATTGATTGGTATATACAATAATTTAAAGCTCAATTTTTGTCAAAAGAGGAATTAAATTTTCTAATTTTTAAAAAAACAGTATTTAAAATTCAAGTACAAAATATACTGATTGAATAAAAAAAATATTCTTTATATTATTATCTAGTGTACTTAATATCAATAATAAAAATATTATTATTAGATAAACAATTTTTGTTATTACAAGCGAAAAATCTTTTTTATCAAAGTAAACGTTAGCATTAGTATAAGGAAATATTATACTTGTCATAAGTATAAAATGTACCTTAAGTAAGTATTTATACATGTTCTTTTGAAATAAATATATTTTCAAATAGACTATAATTGAAGTTTGTTACATGTAAATAGCGCACAAATTTTTAAAAAATAAGTCTCTTAATATTTTAAAACAATGTGCTTTAAATCGGTAATAAAATTTTTATTGTCAAATAAGCAATTTTTCAACAACAAATTAAAAGATATTTTTATAAAAGTAAATGTTAGTACTAGTATTAGACAACGTCATGCTTGTTATAAGTATAAAGTAAATTTATTTTGAAATAAAATATACTTTTAGTACCAGTAAAAAGTATTTACGAGATTTGTAATAATTGTGGAATTATTAAATAAATATCATACTAAGTGAAAAAACAAAGTTTTTTTTTAACAAATATTCAATAAATATGGCTTAATAAAGAACTATTTACAAAAAAAGAACAAATTAAGTTTGTTGCAAATACTTGATAGACTACTTTGAAGAAGAATATATTTTTACAATCAGTAATGTATAATCTGGAAATGACTCAAAAAGATGTTGTCATGAAATAACCAATTTTTTCAGTATTCGTAAAGAATATTTTTCATCCAAGAAACAGTTATACTAAAACAAAATAACTTCAGCATTTACTTGAATCGAGTAAACAGTAAGTCAACGTGAAGTTAAAAAAATTTTTACAATATGTGAATTATATTTTTCATATCATTAATAAATTTTTTTAATTGAAGTGATTAATTTGTGAAATTAAAAAAGAATATATTTTTTTCACAAGTAATCGGTATACTAGAGTTGAAAAAACGGTATACTTGTGGTAGAAAACCTATTTTTTCGAAACAAACAAAAAATTTTTTTCTTTTATCAATAATTATTTTTAATTCGAGTAAATTATTTTTAAAATTTAAAAAAAAAATTATTATCTTATAAGTAATTTGTATACTGGATTTACGTAAAAAGCATACTTGGAATAGAAAGTTGATTAGTTTCAGACAAGTGAATGATGTAACTGTATAATTCTAGTATATAAGAAATAAAATATGAGTAAAAATTATTCATTTAATATGTAAACAATAATCATGTTCAATGTAAACAATATTTTTTATATAGACAATCTTTGTATATAATGCAATTAAACAGTCTGTAGAAATTTTATCAACAATATTCAAAAAATACGTAGTTGTTACACTTGTGATCAGTAAATTATATGTATAGAATGAAAAATCTGCATTATCAACAGAAGTGAATATTCTACTTGTTTGGTGCCAACTTTCTATTTCAGATAAGAAAAATATCTACAAAATAAAGGTAATTAGTTTTTTTACGACAGTCAGTTTGTATTCTCTTTATAAACAAAAATTGTACTCGTATTTTAAATAATTTTTTTTTATTAAAAGTTACAGGTTTCTTTACAATTTGAAATCAATTTAATTCTATTTCGTTTTCAATATTTTTAATATAAGTAAATGATGTATATGCACTAAGCAATAAAAACATAAGTTGCAAGAAATTAGTTAAGAATAATGTAGTAAACTTTATTATCATAACAAATTTTAAGTATACTATAGTCTAGTTTTTTTATCGCTTATCTATTATATAGTTTATCATCTTTTCATAAAAAAAATACTTGACGCTAGATATAACTATACTTGAATTAAGTATACTTTATACTCATCGTTTGTATGCTCTGTAGTCGTCACGATCGTTCTCTGAGTGTATGAGAGGCCCCAGAGTTTGGACTCCTGTTCTGTAGTCTTCATGGCCCAGCCTTAAGGCTGGGCTGAAGTCAGAAAGTTTCCCGGAGTGGACTTTACGCCCTCACGTTGTGCGGCGAAAAGCCGAAGCTCGATATCAATTGAAATTGAGTAGGTAACAGAGAAATCGTTCGAAAAATGATAATTTTCAGGGATGCACTACAAAAAGGGAGCCTTAGGGCACCAAGAAATTTACAAATTTTTGAATAATCTGTTCCGAGCAAGACAGAGCAGAGAATATATCTATCTATCTCCGTCTTATTTTTCAGAGAAGACTGCGAGTTCGAACAGTTGACGAGCAAGCACATCCCCCACCCTCTGTTACCAAGCCTGAAGCTTATGATATCTAAACGTAAAAAAAGTAAATGAAAATATGCTGGCCCTGTAGTCAGAAAGTTCGACAGTGATTTTACCGAACGGTGTTCGATTCAAATTGCGGCAAAATTTTTTTTTTATTTAAATTGCATGTAATTGCAATTTTATCATGCCAAAAATGAGTTTTAAATTTCAATTTTTATGTAAAATTTTTTTTTCAATTAATCAATGACAAATGAGAAAATATTTGAACAGGGTCATTAACCTTTTTTTGTACAAATACATTGATAATAGCCTTTTTTAACAACTTATTAACAATAAAAAATAGTTTAAACAATCCGCGGCGAGTTCCGACACTTCACCGGCAAGCTCTACCCCCACTCTCTGTGCCCAAGCCTGTAGCTTATAATTTTCAAGCATCGTTTGTATAATTGGAACTATAATAGCTCAATGGTTAGAGTCCCGACCTTTTATTTTGCTGGGCAGGGTTCGATCCCAGTCATAGGCAATTTTTTTTTCTGTTTCTTGTTCAAGTGACTTTATATACTTATAAATCAATTCATATATTTTATTACATTATTCTTCCAATTAATTACGAAAAAAAACTTGTTTTTCTGAAAATAAGCTG